GGTGGGTGGAAACCAGTGTTATTTGAACATGGGCACAAGTAAAACCCACCCAGGACACCTGTACGGTGAGTAAATCATTGGAGACTGCTCATGTGACCAGTGACCATTTAATTATTTCAATTCCTGATGATCCTCGATTTGTTTAGAAAAAATGAAGGACTATTTTCCTTAGTGACATATTACAGTAGATATATTAAAAAAGCTAATTGCACTTGGGAGTTAAAGATAAATTGACATGCTCTTAAGTACATACATTTCTTTTTCTTTCCTGTTCTCTAATGAGTTCATAATTTAATTGGAGAAACTGCTAGATTCCCTCCGAGTACTAATGCAAATCTCAAAGGAGAGCAAGCTGCTTATGCAAGTGTTCTCGTAAAACAAAGAGTATTCAAGTATGGTAAATAAATACTAGAAACAAGAATGGTATTCAGTTGCCTTCTTAAAAGCTTGAAGCCTACACATCTTCATATTGATGGTCTGGTTCTGAGCTGAACATTAATGAAAACATTTTCTATTATAAATAAAACTAAAGCACTTCTATATATTATCACTTCCCTGAGGCAAAGTTCTGCCTTTGGGTAAATTACAGAGGGATATCATTATAGCGTTGACAAATGTATGCCAGAGTAACATACAGATTTAATCCAATTAATGCAGCCATAGAATAAGCCAGAGGAGGAAACCTGGTACAAGCCAGCCTTCACAGTGAAGGCCGTAGTGCAGAGTCCCGACTCGGGGAGGCAGATCAACTCTTTTGAAGCGGAATGGCCCCCACCTGCCCCACAGCCACCACAGCGATACGGAGCAGTTCAGGGTCACAGCTGGCAGGAGGGGCAGGCTGACTAAAAAGACAAAAAAGCCCCAACCCCCTAAGCAGCAAATACGCTTTCCTTCAGAGTAATTTTTTCCGATTCTGAGATGGATTTAAATTCAGCAGAGAGAATGTGAGAGCAAGAAACTGTTAAAACTGTGGATACTTTTCACTTGCGTACTGTGAGTTAGAGGTTTCTATTGCTGTTGGAACTGCAATCGTAGCTGAGACAGGGTCAGAAAACCCTGGGGCTTAAATATAGAAGCTTCAAGGCGAGAAGAGTATAAAAATAAATTCCAAAGGGCTTAATAACATTGTACAGAGGCTGGATATTCTGGTGTCAGAAGGAAACTGGTGGCTCTTAGATCAAAACCTAATCACCCAAAAGCAATAAGATCATTTGTTTCAGCCAGCTAGTCGTTCTGTCACCCACCGGGGCAAGTTTTTTTTTACTAGCAGCCCGAATTACAGTTAATTTACAGTGTATAAATGTACAGGTCACTGACAATATAACAGTTAAAGCAAAAATACTTTGGAACGAATGCGGTTAAACCTTTAGCAGCCTGATCCAAAATCTGCTAGGAACCTTTTGCTTGACTTCAAAGGAATTATTATCAGCATTTTAGTCAACTTCTCCTACAAAAAAAAAAAAAAAAAGAGTTAAAAAAAGGGAGCTGTGCCTCACAGTTTACTGCCGGGACTGTCCTTCACGTGGAATGGCAGACAGGCAGAGCTCACAGACAGCCCAGGCCACCTCTGCAGGCAGTGAAGGGAGGGTACCACACAGGAGACTCTCTGATTCTCTGCAGCAAGGCCAGACCAGCGGAAAAATGTCTGCTCTTTCTTAGTTTCCCATCCCAGAAGACTTTTATTTATGCATTAGTCGACCTTTCTAGCTGTTAGGACCATCTTGCTTCAGCAGTTAATTAACACAAGTGCCATAATTTAATACAGTTAATGCTACTTGATGCCCTTTAATGTACCTTCCATTAGTGATATTATTGTAGTATTACCCTGTAAATTAAAATGAGATCAAGACTAAGAGAGGCTCTCTTTAATTAAGGTACTGGCACACTACATCGTCCATTATTCACTAGAAAAAATCACCCTGATTTAGTGAAGCAGACCATCAGTAAGTCAGAATAAGTTCATGAGGATTATTAGCTTTCTTGAATAATGTGAGCACAATGGGGCTGCTGAAATTGCTAACAGCCACGTTTCCTTTTTTTTCATCATCTTAAGACATACACAATGGAAGTGGGAAATTGAAGATGAATAAACAGGTGGTAATAGAGGAGGTGAGGTGTTCATTGAGAGTACACAGGCTTTCACCACTAATGTGAAGGCTTATTTCACACCAAAATGCAAAGCAATGACAAAACAAACGCTATATTAAGTGGGCAAATCTCCCATTTATAATTTGTTGTGAAGTATTAACCACTCCAGCGCCTTGTATACTAAATATGGCAGCTTTAAGATAGATGCTTTTTACTGTCATTGATCTCAAACATATAATGTGAAAAAAATGACATTTTATGCTGCCTTTAGAAATATGCTATTATAAGCTTTGGTGTTTTTAACTGTATTTAACCTACAGGTTACTTTTTTTCAGTAAAAGGACTAGCTTTAAAAATTGTCTGCTGGTATCACACATCCACCACGTCAAGCTCCTTTGTAACGTCCCTTTGTATGCTGTCCTCATGGAACAGTGTAGTCTAGCTTTAATAATTGTATATAAATATTTAGGTCTCAAAGCCCAGAATATGAAACATTGTAGCAAAAAAAAAAAAAAGAAAAAAAGAAAAAATTTGCAGCTTAATTTCCAGTTAACACGCTAAATTAACTTTCAAGGGCTGGAAAGCTCAGCTGACTCAGAAACAGTGGCACAAAACCCCTGGTAACCCTTGTTCCCATGCTTAGGGTATGCCTGGGCACGTGGCCATAAATGCTGATTTTGAGACTCTTTGGGGTGGGGGCTGTAAGGTTTCTGGTAGGAGACAAAAAATACCTAAAACTGGGAGAGAGTGGGCCTATTGCAAGTTACCTTTGGAGCGACTAAATGATCAGGGGCTGCGTACTGCAGCCCCACAGCTACTTCGCAGTAAGCAAGCCTATAAATTCTTGAACAAGGAGAGCTCACTACGTATTGAAGGAAAGGCCACCAAATCCCTAAAGAGCTGTTCTTCTCATTAGCCGAAGAGCGATAAGAATTCACATGAATCTAATGTACTGAGATACTATTACACATCAGATATTTCTTTTAAAGCACGTGTCCAATTACTGCAGCATTTAGACAACAAGCATCAGCATCAGATAAGTTCTCTACAGTCATGCTTCATTTTTATAGATAATTTTTCAGAAGATTGCTGCACCCCAGATGTGCTCAGAAGGTTTCTGTTTCTCATTTGCATGCAATGCACTCCTTTTTAATCCTTCAGATGCTTTCTTTGATAAAGTACTGATAGTCTAATTGAAGTCAGACTAAGCTCCAAATGGGTTTTCAGATGGGGAGCAGCTTTTCCTTAAAGTGTAAGGACCTTCAAATCCTGAGCTTTGACATGATCCCTCTGTAGAGCTAACCTATGAGGGGCCCAATGGAGAAAGGATACACGTTAAATACAACATATGTGTCATTTTTTTATATACAGAGGCTAATGTTACTAAACTATTTCAAACAGTATCTTAAGCTGTCCCTGATCCACTTAGCCCTCTCAAGAGAGGTCTGAAAAATAATTTACAATGTAACTAATGAGAGTTACAATAACAATTCTTAAAACAGCAACATTTATCTTATCCTTTCACATGTTCAATTAGTGATTCTGTACCGATGCATATGTATTTGGTGTGGACACAGAAGATTGTAACTACATGCTAAATCTACGGTCCTAAGAGATGTATTTTGATGTCATATAAAAATATATCAGCACTGCAAAAGTGCTTGTGCATTCAAACCTGTACATAGCATCGATTCTTCCTTTACATGAAGTTAGATGAATATTTTTCAATAGATTACATCACAGTAATTTGATTCTATTTTGACTTTATGTACCGATTTTTGCAATATGGAAATGCTTATGAGCACGAAAGGCTTGTATAAAAGAGGTAGAAAATGGCAAACTCACTACAAGAATAATAAAAATACAGTCAACAGAGTTTTATATAATCAATGTCTTTCTTTTTTTCACTCAGTCTTGTATCTGCAAAAATTGCCCTGGCCTTCCAAGATACATTAGCTTTTCTGTTCGTTTTGATACTTAGCTTCTCTTAAAAAAAAAATCTTTTAAAAAGGAATATTTGAACTCTCTACAGAAGAAATAGAAGAGAAAGAAAAGGTACATTACAGAGGTGAGTGAACTGCTAATAGAGAAGGTCCCATTTATTTCTTCTGAACAAATTGGCATCCAAGACACATGTAAGGAGTATCACCCTCCTGCTTGAGGTCACCAGTCAATTGCTAGTTTGAGTTGGGAAGAAAATTTCCCAATAGGAATGTCATTGCACAGTTATTATTTTTGGGACTACGGCACCTGATACCAGCCACTGCTTGCCCCAGAGGGACTATTTGTCTGGAACCCAGCTGAGTATTCATCTTTGTTATATTCAAATCAGTCTTCCCAAAACACTGTTGGGTTTTGTTGTTTTTTTTTTTTTTTTTTTTCATTTTACTTCAGCTTCACTGCATTTCAGAGCTAATTAAAGTACAAGGAATGGACTCTAATCTCTGCCGCCTTCCTTGTTCACAGGCAGTTCATAGCCAGACCTACTGGGAAGGGTCTGCACAAGGGCTGCTGTATCAATCACAGCTTACATTAAATGCCTGAAAAAGTCAAATGATATAACAAGATCTCTCTTTTTAGTTAACTGTCATCAGATGAGGCTCCAACTGCAATAAAGCACAAAATGTCCTAATGCCAGGGTGAATTCCCGAGGCAACGTAAGAACCTGTTAATATTATCCTGCTCATGAGACCTAGGGCTTAAGATCCCAGGTTAGTGACAGCGAACACCCGGGACTTTGCGCCGCTCAGTCAGAAACTTCTAGTATGACCCAAAACAGGCTTCAGCTGAGTCAGATTTCCAATGAACATGTCTTGGCAGAAAATGTCATCATGTTTGAGGACAGAAACGGTTTTGAATAACCTCTAAAACCAAACATACATGCCTGTTTCTAAAGGTATGTATTCTCTTACCTTCCGTATACCCTTATGTCTGAAATTGCATAAAAGTAGCGTGCCAGGTGTTGCTCATCTACATATATTTCTCCAGTTGCTGGCCTAAGCAGTCTTATCCTCAGATCCGTGATGGTAAAGAAATCTCTTAACTTCTTGGTCGTGTCAAGCTGGCCATAAAGAGAAGCCATGTTATGCAGCCGAGGTCCAGCAAAAAAAGCAAATCTATCTTTGATTTCAAAGTGGATTATTTTACTGTTTGTCATGTACCCAGTAGAGTATTCCTCTGTGCAAATGATTTCTAGGACTGTGTGCTGTGATAAATCCCTCACTGATTTTGGATCCATGTGGAAAGCATCTAAGCAGTCCGTGGCATAGTACTGGTAGGGCTGCCATGTTCGTCCATAGTCGAGTGATTTCTCCAGGATCATTTGGTCTGGACGGCCAGATTCAAACGTGATAATTATGTTATCTGTCAGCTCAATGGTTTTGTTCCAGGAGAGCGTAATATTAACATGAAGAGGCTTTGGATAATCCTTCCAAGTCGTGGACTGCCAAAATGTGGAGGGATGTCTTCCTTCGAGATCAAACATCAGTTCTGGAGGATGAGCCAGTTCTTGGGTACTCGCATCACACTCATTATTGCACATGTAGGGATTTCCCTGGAAAAGAGCAAAGCAGTGTTACAAGAGGCACGGTATATGTGACTGCACACATAAAGATGTTTCTTGTCTGGCACATGAGAACTGCTGCTTTTTCTCCAGGAGTGAAACCAAGAAATAAAACACAAATGCTTGCAAGGAATACCTGTATCTTAATGAGATTTGTCCTGGCTATTTCACCTGTTGAAGTAAAAACGTACAAAAAAATGTACACACACACACATATACAGCACCCTTGCTTCTGTAACATAAATATTTTCCTTAGTATGTTTTAGAGAAAGAAAAGAGTTTATTTACCCTGAACCACTTGAACCAGCAATTGAGTCACAAAAGACCAAAACCAGTAAGCAAGTCTCTAATATCTCAGTAACTCCAACTCTTCCTAGAAAGATGCAGAAGCCAAAGGGAATTTATTTCTAAATCAAGTGTGTTCCTCAAGAGCTCCGTTCACAAAAGAAGTAATTTTTAGGGCAAGTGTTTTGAGGTCAGCAGCGCAGCCCATATGTACTCGGTATTACCCAGTACCCAGTACACCTTCAAGTTTCCTTTCACTTGGAGGTGAAATTTATTATGCTTAACTGTGCTCCCAGCTTAGCACCGGCTTGCCTTAAAACATTTACACTCCCCACCAAAAGTCATTAGAAAAACCATGCTCTACCAGCTCTGGGGCTTGATTCAGACATCTGCCATCTTATTACAGGGTAGCAAAGTACTTCAGGAAAGACTTTTCACGAGGCAACGGCTCCAATTTATCTGGGCGAGATAATCCAGCACTTGATTAGGTGGGAGATGTCAGCAGCTCCAGCTGGAACGCTGCCGAGGTGGCTGGAGGTCTGAACTGGGGGTTGAGTTAAAAACAGCAACAAAAAAAAAGCTTGCCAATAGGGCACAGCTTTTACTGCTGCTTGTCCTCTGTAGCAAGGTGAAAGTGAATTATTCTCTTCCTGGCCTTTTGATGCATTAACTTGCACACTACAATCTTCTGCTTCTTCACAAAGGCTATTTTGTCTGCAGATTGGGGATATCTTGCAGCAGTTACCAGGATATCAGACCCCGTAGGCTGCACTGAATCACGTCTATCTCATTTCGGCTTTCAACAGTACATTAATATTTTGCTACTTGTTCATTCTGCGTTTGTTCCAGAGAGCAACCACTGCTCTGTATCCCTCCCTCCATCTTACGGATTGTGGAAGAAGCCATGCCTCTTTTCACTGATGGTCAGCACTGCTGGGGAAAAGGATGCACATGCCTATATGTACCAGTGCTCAACAGGGGCATAAGTGTAGCTGTTATTGTCATTAATCAGAGTTCCCCTCACCTACCCTGAAAACAGAACGAGCCCTGGTATGATAATCAACCTTTTCCTTTCTTATAATTACAGTTATGCTTCTCTCTGTCTCAAAGCCTCAGGGCAATGAAGCGATTCAACACCATCCAGAGCGGGAAATGAGTTTCAAACATGAGTTTCCACCGTGGCTACTGCTCTGTTCCTTGATGTACTCCCATGAAACATGAGCAAAAGGACTTCTGCACTCGCTTTGACCTCCCCACTGGCAACTTCCTCTCACCTGGGCAGGGAAATACTATTTTCTTTCTCTCTCTCTTTCCCATTAATACAGCTGAATGCTAAAACTGACAACAATTCAGTGGGACTCGAAGCTAGGAAAAAACTACAAGACAACAAAAAGGGTTATTTGAAAAGCAGCCCACTGCTTCTTACACTGACGGCTTCAAAGCATGCAGCTGTAATAGAAAATACTCTGTAAAACGTATCTATAATAAGTCCCTGTTACAGCTCTGATTTCAAGCTCACGGTTGCTATTTCTATGCCTTCCTTTTGAATAAAACAGTGAAAATCAAAAATAAGTTTCAAGCAGAATAAAGAAAACACCAGATTTTTTATTATTTAAGCTCCATTTAATATATCAGACACAAACGGCAGGATTTGCTAACCTACTTAAGCCTTTCCTTTTCCTGAGGGAAAATATACATACTGTGAAATCTATAAGGTTCCAGACCCTTTGACTATATATAAATATCAGTTTTGCAGAAAATGCTCAGAGTTGCGTAAATCACACCTTCCTGAGGTTTACTAGAAAAACCCGGCCACTTCTGTACCTGTCACCACGAAGCCGCCTGTGTACCTATGATGTCTATGCTTCTGTCATCACTTTGGTAAAAACAACTTCACTGGGAGGTCATGGGTATCGGAACATGGTGAATAAATGCTCCTGGGTAGCCAGACAGGTGCATTAAGCACTGCTGAGGGATGGCTTTGGTTTCCCGCTCCACAAGCAACCACTGAGCCTGTCGTCATTCTTCATGTTAAAAACTAAAGCCACTCTGATCCGCCAGTCCCTGAATGTTGGAGGAGTTGGGAATGACTTCCAGCGGGTAACCCAGCTTGTGTGGGACGTATTGTTTCTTTCTGTATGTAAGAGCTGATTTCTTTTGCTCCTTTTTTCTTTCACCTTCTCCTTTTGAGCAAAAGCTGAGGTGCCAAGATAATCAGAGAACGCTGGGAGACGGGGCTGTGACAAGACACAAGCTAGTGTGAATGCACTAAGATCATGAGAGCTGGTAGCAACATGGTACCTAGAAAAATGGTGCAGTGAAAGCTAGAAATCAGCCCTAGCTTGCTGGTGAATGGTAGGCTACATCTCTGTGGGCACAAAGCTTTTCGGGAAAGAGGAGGTTATGCCAATTAATGGCAGAGCGTAGTGAGAAATGGGTCAGAATCACAGTGCTGTCCTAGACATGAAACTCTTACCAGAGGTAATGTCAGTGGCACAACCTGCCACTGGAACCCTGGGGTAAGGACATCACTGCAAATGAGAATCCTAGTTAAAAGCTTCAGGCATATTCTCCCCAATAAATTCAATTATTATTTTAATTTTATAGCACACAATTTTCTTTTAAGAGGCGAATGATTTGATGACACCAAAATAACCGGTGTGGAGTTCAGTCTCCTAGAGAGGAAATTAGGAGAAAAAAATCTAAGTTGATATAAGCTGATAAAATAAATGTCCTGAATTCTAACACAGGGAGGGGGAGAGAAATGACGAGTTTAGGTAAGTTCTGCCTACTGACATGGCAGTAATCACTGATGTAATTTAACGTGACTATTGCTTCAGAGGCTTGGAATCAGATCCCCATTTTCTCTACCAGCAACTTGGCTTTAAACTGCTTCTAATTAATCTTAAACGTAATTTCATGTGAAGTCATACTTACATTACCAAAACAGTGTAAAGGGGTCTTACCCTACCTGAACGTTCCTCAGTAACTGTTAGTATGAAAACAATTGATTTAACTGGCATTAGTTACATATTTTAATGTCTTGATCTCTGTGATAATCCTCTTTAAGACCTCCATCTCAGTAAAATGAATATAACAAAGAGAAACTTGCCCCAATTTGTGAAAACTAAGCCAAATCTCTGTTGGGGACATCTAAAGGACTGGAACGTTAACAGCTGTAAGGAGTTTTGTGACCGGCAGGCGACCATAAATAGATCTTCATTTAAGCCTCCCAAGCATCAGCTCTTCAGCTGGACAAGGTGGAAAATATTTATAACTTTTCAAAACAGTATTTAAGCCATTAGGAGATTTATAAATAATTAAACGCTATTAAATACTTCCAAACACTTTACTGCCAATTAGCGTAAAACATAGCTGAGGCTTTCCCAATACCACAACTATCTAAAAGAAACCCACTATTTTCCTGTACGGTAACTGGAGATTGATATTGAATAGCTCCTTGCAGGCAGGCAAATTAAGTTGCTATTTATTCTGTTTTAGGCTGCTCATGGAATTCAAAACATTACCAAAACCACTGACAGAGCCTAAAAGTTTTGGCTTTATGAGGAGGTACCCATTTTGCAGGCACGGCGAGGGCACGTGGCTGTATCACACAGTTTGCTCATGCTCAGCCCTGGCTGGAAAAAGCAGAGTTACCTGATAAGCTGCTGACTAGGGCTGACTGGTCCCAGTAGGGTTTCCCCTCAATTAGCTGGACTGAGTTTGTTTTAGCAGGCAGCGATGTCTGTTTGTGCCAGCCAGCTTGAACTTTTACCGCGGTGACTGAGGTGCTCTGCAGGTGTCCCCAGCTGGGATGGGGCGCTGGGGCTGCCCTTGTGCCCACCGGGCAGGAGCGTGTCTTACCAAGTGCATCTTCAGGAACAACTCAGTGATGGATGGGACAGAGACCTTAGAGTGAGAACTTTGGTTAAAACCAGAGGTCTAGCAGCAGTATGACCCTTGAACATCAGCAGAGGAGCCGGCAGTGGTGCTGCAGCTGCCGTTTGAGGGTTAAAGTCCGAGTGCTGCCGCTCGCTCAGGCGAAGCCGCCTGTCTCTCATCAGGATGGCTCCTCAGTGGCATCCACACAGGCTTAGGGCTTGATTGAAGATGTTGCTTCTTTCAATCTGCTTCCTGTCCACACTAACACCTCATGGACTTTTTTTTTACTCAGGAACAAAGACAGAAGGGCTTAACCTTTCTGCAGCGTGAATATTGGAAGCTGTATCACAGATTACACGCTGTAATAGACACCTGGCTAAATCCCTACAGAGGATTATAACTTGCATTTTCGAACTGGTGAAGGCTGCTGAGGTCAAGCAGGCCAAGATTTTAAGAAGGAGCAAAATAAATTTTCAAGCAGTGAGTCACAGCAACCCATTTCTATATCACTGCCTCAAGGTAGTTAGCTCAGATGCACAAGACAAGAAATAAATACAGCCTGACTCATGTTTGGGGTGAGGTTGTGCTGTAAATTACTGCATTCAAGTCACACTTTTGGAAACAATAGAGTATTTCCGTTTTCCTTTCCAAGAGATCATTACAAGTACTTCGCTTGGTAGCATGCTGTACATTGTAGATGACTAATTTGAGAGTAATAGCTAATAGCATCAATTGCCCTAATGGTAAAATTTTGCATGTTGTTTCTAACTAGGAATTACTTCTTTACCATGACAGAGCCAGATTATGGAACCATTAATTGGGAG